GTGTGTGTAACTGTTTCAACCCCCAAAAATACTTTCTTTTACCTTGTCATCATGTGTTATTTTCTACTTGTTTATGGTCGAGCACCTCTTCAAGTGCAGAAGGCTTGATGTATATAGACAATATTTTGGCATATCATCNATGCAAAATATATTTTTTTTATATTCAATCAAAGTATTTCTACTCACTCAAAGTGTTTGTCTTCTGTGTAATTGTGCCATTCTTGCGTGTCGTGTGGATAATCTGGCCGAACCATTACCAACACATTTTTTCACATTTTAATTAAGCAAGAAAAATAATGAAATCAATAAAATCACCCTAAACGCTTTATTTCCGGCTCTAATTGATTAATGGGAGTTACGTTTACGCTAGTACATCGTAAAATTTTCTAAATCCATGTAATGTTTCCAGTAGATCGGTGCATTCGTTTAAAAGCTATAACAACTTTTGTGATTTTCGATTTTTGAAAATCGGACTCTATCGGAATGCAGAAATGTTGAGAAAAAAATGTATAATTCCAAATATTTTGTATTCAAGGGTTTGTGGTTGTGCAAAACAAAATATCAATTTTGTAATTTGCTAAAAACATATGTTAACATACTATGAAATGTGTTGATGCACGGTCACACGTTAAAATCGTATTTGGCAGCTAGCCGTAGTAAACGTATCGTAGATATTCAAATACATAATAAACAAATCCATAATATGTGATATATACAATGATTTTATATATATATATACAATAATTAAAACATCTAACTACTCTACCCTTAAAAGAATTATATACTTATATATATACACACACACACACACACACACACATATACAGGGTGAATTGCTACTCGTGCTACAAACTTCTCCAGTAGATTCTTCACCCTAAAATGAACAAAAAAGTTCATATTGTCCATGGTCCGATTCTCAACCATTTCAGAGTAATTTCGCTTTTTATCGATTTTGAAAGATATCACGTCCTGGCGTCGGAAAATCGTGATATCTTTTAATCTAAACATTTCTCTGAAAAT